AACACTTCTAATACCTCTAGCTCCTAACTTAGATGATTTAGGGTCAATTATTCTATAAAAGGCTAGACAGCCCCACACCCTTAAATACATCAAGTTTGGTTTTCTTCCTTTCCATACTTCATATGGAGAGACATGTGTTTTCATAGATGTAATCCTATTGTGAACATGACATGCTGTAAGTAAAGCTTCCCCCCATAAATTATTAGGTAATTTAGCATTAAAAAGCATAGAGTTAATCATATCAGTAAAGATTATATTCTTTCTTTCAGCCAATCCATTTTGTTGAGGAGTAAAAGGGGCTGACTTTTGGTGAATAATTTCATGCTCTTCACAGAAAGCATCAAATTCATTTGAGAAATATTCACCACCTCTATCACTTCGAACCATTTTGATCTTCTTGTCTTTTTGGTTCTCAATTTCAGCCTTATGAATTTTAAATTTATCAAAGGCTTCATCTTTTGTTCTAAGTAAATACACATAAGTGTATCTAGAACAATCATCTATAAAAGTGATAAAGTATCTCTTTCCTCCTCTAGTCAAAATTCCATTATACTCACAAATATCGGTATGAATCATATCCAATATTTGAGTATTACGTTCGGCTCTAGGAAAAGGTTTCTTAGTCATCTTTGCTTGTATACAAATTTCACACTCATCATTTTTTAATATCTTTGCAATTAATCAAACCATGTTTAGACATATATTTCAAAGATCTAAAATTTAAATGTGCTAAACGTGCATGCCAAACATCAAAAGAATCAACAATATAAAGAGAATTCACATCATCTTTATTATTAACACTTAGTTTGTACATGTCATCACAAGAATACCCATTTCCCACAAAAATCTCATTCTTAGATACAATACAATTATTGCCCTCACGTACAATCTTAAGCTCATTCTTACACATAAGACTAGCGAATACAAGATTTTTCCTAATATCAGGAACATGAAGAACATTGTTCAATGTAAGCTTCTTTCTGGAAGTAAAGTTAATCTCCACCACTCCTCTCCCGGAAACCATCGCTGCATCATTATTCCCCATGAGAACCGTTTGTCCTTCCTTTTCCACTTTGTAAGATAAGAACATAGTCTTCTCATTACAAACGTGGATTGTGGCACCGGAATCAAGTCACCAATCGGAGGATCTAAATGCAGCCATGTCAGTTTTGGTAATCATGCCAATTTGCAATTCCGAGACCATAGCACATATGTCTTCGGATTTCTCTTCAACGACATTGGCATTGTTGGTGTTCACTTCTTCCTTTTTCTTCTTGTATCTGCAGTCATTTTGGCGATGGCCTTTCTTTCCACAAAAGAAACAATTTCCAGAAAATTTCTTTTGGCCATTACCGGGCTTTTTGAACTTCTTGTCATTATTGACTGAAATTCTTTGAAAACTTACTAGCTTCAGCAACATTAACTTTAGAGGAATCTATAATCTTGCTCTTGGAATCACGAGACTTAGTCTCTTCTTCGATTCTCAAGTGTTTTTGTAATTCCTCCAAAGTTATGTCATCTCTCCTATGAAGGATCCGTACCTTCCTTCTCAGTTTTGTATTTGTATTCGAGAGCGTTCCAAATCTTCACCGGAGACTCCATCGAATTGTAAAGATCGTAGAGCCTATCGGGGGAGAGTGTTGAGAATATGACCCCGGCACATGATTTCATCATCTCCACGCTTCTTCCTTGTGATCTTCCATTCTTCGGAATCGTCCTCCTTTGGTTCAGAAAGTGGCTCCAATTTTGGATCAAGCACATAGGCGATCTTAAGCACAGTGAGAAGGAAGAACAACTTTCCCTTCCAGCGGGTGAAGTTGGTACCATCAAAACGATCAAGTTGAACATTAGGATTAAGGAAAGACGTCGTGTTCTTTTCAACCTCCATTGCAGCAAGATTAAAACCTTAAAGATTGTTGAAAAAATCAGAATTGGGAGGATGAAAGGAATAGAGAAAGCAGAAAGAAGGTTTGAGGCGTATATGAATACTTTCCTTTAAGGTTTTATTTGCCCTCACTTCTCAAAGTTTGCTAATGAGTTTTAAATGGCAAATTACCCCCAAGTTACAACAAACCCTTGAACACAATATCCAGCAAAAAATATTGAGTTCCAGAACAATTAATAATCTGTATTTTCTGAAGTCCATCAAATAAAGACAGGGATGCATCCATCCTCTTTAAGTGTTACAACCTTTCACATAAAGATACCTTTTCAATTTGAAGGTTATCTTTTTTATGCTGATGCACTTATATCAATAGTTATTTCTATTGTTAATAAGTGCTCAGATATGTGAGAAAATATATCACAAATAGATGCAATGTTTCAAGACCTTTTCAGATCACTAAAACACACGAAAACACATTTTTCATTAACAATTTGCGCTGCAATGCCCAAGAGGCGCGCTGCAGCGCGTCTGTGCGCTGCAGCGCGCGGGCTTAGCAAAACAGACCCGAGAGGTTTGTTTTGTGCAGGCTGCAGCGCCCAAGCGCGCTGCAGCGCGCTTGTGTCCGCCTACTCTTCCCGAATGTGTTTTAAGCCAATTTTTTGTGATATCAAAATTAAGAGATATATTATAATCTCTCTATCATATATTACTCTATATGTGTAGAACAAAACTGAGCGAACTATTACTAACAAATCCAAGCCTGTCTAATATTACTTTTCTAAGTTAGCTTTTTTAGTTTCTTAGCGTGGAGGGACTCTCCATTGTATAACTTAGGTTGACTTTTTTTTTTTTTTCCTTAACTATAATTGTTTCTTTTTGTTTTTCTGTTTAGTTCAAGTATATCGTAATCTTTGGTTATATCTAACCTAATTAAAGCCGCTGCCGCTGTTGATAGTATAAAAAGTGGATTTGACGACGGTTTAAAAACAACCGTCACATTTGATATATGAGTCTTTTATTTTTACTATTGATCATCAAAAAGTTGGGATACCAACTCTCCGGTAAGAAATCTCTCCTAAATCACTATATCAAAATTCAATTGTTCAAAGAGTATCTAGACTCACATGGATAACACGAATATAAAAAAATACAGAGAATAAAACGTATCCGTAAATGAGTTACTTTATTTTATTTTCAACTATCATAAGTTTTCTAGTCCTATTAAACATGATATATCAATGTACACGGATATTATACGACAAAATTCCTTGCTACATAATAAAGGCATTAGAATTTTTATACAAAATTGATCTTCAAGGAGAGAGGGAGGGAGGGAGAGATTTATTGATATATAATTTATATGTAGAATTCCATTGTACAGCATTGTTTATTGTTATACCAAAAGGGTATTTGTTAAACAAGGTACTAAATTTCGCAATCTATGTTAATTATCCAGGAAATTTTGAAAATTGTCTTTCTAGCAAAAGAGAATAAGGATTATGTACTTTCTGAAGTACTACATGAGTTCATACTTCACTTTCTCCTTTTACATGCTAACTTAAGAAGAATAGGAAGGTCATTATAAGTAGACACGTTCTCTAATTTTCTTAATTATCGTTCATCAGTCATGGCTAGTGGTGGAACTTCTTTGCATTTAGATTTTACTAGACTTTATTTATAGCTCAAGCCCACGTGAGAACTTCATAACATATGTCCGAATAGATACGTTAAGGCTTCGTGCTAAATTCTATGGCCCAAAAGATTCGTCTATTTTACTTTCGTAGAAAAAAAGGGCAAAAGAAGCCCAGACAAATCTTACATTTTTAATACTAGGCTTTGCTCTCAATTAAACAGACCTTAGCTATATATATGGGGTTGCAGCCTAGAAATCAAATTGTGAGTAGTATAAATTATTTTGTACTAGAAATTGATAATGAAGTAACAAATTCTCTTCAAATAATGTAATAACCACATTATGAAAACGTCAAGGAATGGGAAAGAAAGGGCATCTTTTTATTTGACAATAGCAATCATCTTACTATTTTACTTCATTGAGATCCACAAGTTAATGCATAAAAATTATAGCCACATCTTGTAGACATAAATCTTGCTTAATGAATAAGAGAATCCAGTAAACGAAACTCGACTCGATTTTACTCTTGACTAAAAGTCTTTCCAAATCCTTGTCCGTATGGCACACTTCGTACCGCAACACGCAACATTCCATGTCCTTGTATAATGTAGATGTTGCTAACTATATACTATACTGTTAAGAACAATTGAAAAATGTCTTCATCTTCATCCTAGTTCACCTCCACAAGTAGCCACTAGCCACTTTTTTTTCCCCCCCACAACTAGAACGAAAAGAATTTCTTTGTCGCAATATTTGGAATCGAAGAAAAATATTTGCTAGGAGGATGATGATCAATCAGGTATGGCACAGAGGGGTTGTCTAAATAATAATAAAAGATGAATGCTTAAGAAACTGTTTTTTTTTTTTTTTTAGTTTTTTTTTTTATAATTAAGAAACTATCGTTGTCAATACCACAGGTATCCTCATTACAAAGACAACGTTCTGAGGTCGTGCATGAATGATTTTTTGTTGAGTGTGGGCCTGTGAGGCCCACAAAAGTGATAAGAGGAGAAGAAAAATGGGGGCAAAAGAGCTTTCAGATTCCATTCTGTGATCAACAACTTGATGATTCCTTGTGCTCCTTATGCTTCTTCTCCTAATAATGCCTATCAAATCAAACAGGGAAAAGAGAAAGCATAGCATAGATTTCGAATTTAATTGATCTTCGTCTTTTAATGAACCTCTTGTGGCACAAATGGGTTTCCTTAAGCTTTTCATTTTCTCTCCTCCAACTTTATTAATTTTCCATTACAATTTTCTTAAGAGACCAAAAGTGCCCATGTCAAATATATTTTGAGTGAACAAAGTTCCCATGTTATGAGGAAGCAAAAGACAGAAAAAGAACTTGGGACTTTTGTGAGTGGAAGGTAGAATAACTTTTCTCCAAGTGACCTGAAAACTCCTTCCTCTGACTTGGAAAATATGGCATGTCCCAAACGGAAAATTGATGCTTAAGGACCATAGTTGTCTCCTGTAACTTCATTACTCTAAATCTTACCATATTTCTTCCATTGGCAAGATTGGTGCTTAATATTAAAGACCAAAAAATTCTACAACCACATTTATCAACAAACTTAAAAAAATGAGTCAAAAGCAAATCACACTTCAACAGTTGGTCTTTTCCTTGGTCTTTCCTGGATGCCCATCTTTCTTCCCGGTTAATACAGCCCCATTGGATAAAATTACATTTTTGTTCACAATTTGACCGACAAACATCATTAAACTCAAGTTTTCTCCAACTGGCAATGTACATTACAGAATTGCCTCAAACTCCCCTCTCATAGATCTACACCATCTACCAAATAAACTAACTATAAGAAATTAAAAAAAAAAAAAAAGTTTAGAAAAACACAACAAGAAAGTAGTTCTGTTTTCCATCCATCATTATTTCCAAATTCCCCTATTAGCTAGCCTCATCCAAACTAATTACCACGTCACCATGTCCTCCTCCGGCCCCTGCAGCACTCCCGCCGCCGTGATGCCGAACCCCGACATCCACCTCCCCGGCCTCCACCGTATCTGAGCTGCCTTGCTGCTCAACCAACGACTGCCTGCAAGTGGGGCAGGACGAGTGCGACACGAGCCACGGATCAATGCACCTAACATGGAATCCATGGCTGCATTTCGGCAAAACCCTGACTTTGTCACCTTCTTCGAACTCTCCGAGACAAATAGTGCAATCCGTGTCGAGGGTCTTGATCCCGGAAGCCGAGCCGTACGCGGTGACGGGGATCTTCCGCAAAGCGCTCTTCTTCAGCCCCGTGGCCGCCAGCCTTGCCGCAGCCTCATCCGGCGTCTCAAACGCGAATCTCCTTGTGCACCGCAGCGCACACCGCACGATCGAGTTCAGCCCCAGCGCGCATATCAGCGCGCAAAGCAAGGCTGCAAGGATGATCACCATGTTGGTATCGAAGTTCGCCTCGCTCGCGAAAGTCCCGCGAGAATTGGTGCTATCACCAGTACTACTACTATTACTATTAGAACTTCCATTGCTGTGTTGCGGTGGACTGGATTCCGTGCCGTCGAGAAGTGTCAGACGGTGGTGAAGAGTTGTTGTTGTAACCATTGTTAAGATCACAAAGAGAGAGATATAGTACTGTGACGATGGTGATGGTGATGATGATGATGATGATGTTGTTGATGATGAAGAGTACTAGTACTACTTCAAGTTTATGAAAATTGGCCAGCGAGTTCGTTGTTCCAAGGCTTTTCAGCGCCAAATCGGACCACGAAGGAGATCGAGAGGAGGGGATTCATTCTCAGTGGTTGGTCTTTTGTGGCTTGATCCACTCTTGGTGACGTTTTGGATTTGCTTGTAACTTTGGGAAATAGAGAGATTTGTTGGGGTTGGTTTTAAAGGCTAGAGCTAGAAGAGTAGTAGAGTAGTTATTAGCTAGAAGTGAATAAAAAAAATGGAAAAAAAAAAAAAAAAAAAAAAAAAAAAAAAAAAAAAAAAGTTGTGGGTTTCTCACTTTAGGTTCCCCAAAGAAAGTGATATGGTTTTTTTTTTTTTTTTTTTTTTTTTGGTGTGGTTTATGTCTGTAGGGATTCCAACTAGATAAAGACTTTGAAAGAAAGATTGAAAAAAGGAAGCATCTTGATGGTCGCTTGGGATAAGGGAAGAGGTGATTAATAGTATATAATCTATATATATATATGTATATATGTTTGAGTTCTCGAGTTCACTTCTTCACACACATCAATGCCTTTATTAATCCAACCAAAAACCCCTTTTTATTTCCTCCTCAAAACAGAGCGAAAACATGAGCTGACAAGATTGGAAGATGAAAAAAGGCTTATGAAACCATATGTAACTGAAATTCATGCAGTTAAAATCTAGCTTCTGAAAAGTTTTTTCTTTCTTTCAGTCATGAAAGGAGAGAGAGAGAGAGAGAGAGAGAGGGAGAGGGAGAGGGGGATGGTTTTGTGTTCTTTGGGAGTCTCTGTTAAATGAGAGGCTTGATGTATTCAAGGGAAAGTGGGATATTAGATGGAAGGATAAAAACAAACGGGAGAATTTATTTTATTTTTATTTTTATTTTTTTTGCTGAATAAACGAGAGAAATTATTTGTTGGGGTGTCTTTTCGATTCATAAATCATGAATTTTTGACAGAAATGACAACTAGATAGGTGGCTTAAACTTAAGAATCAAGTATAGGAAAAATAGAGGAAAAAAAAAAGTTCCACTGATCATTTTGATTAAGGTACCTGATCCCACTAAATCGTAGTTAGATTTTTTTTTTTTTTTTTAAAAAGAAAAAGAAAAAAAATGCTTATTCTCGGCAAGCACCGAATCCTTTTCCCCACTAACTCAATCAAGTTACTATTTCTTGTACTAAAAGGTCAAGTAAACATTACTCAAATTCAGCCATTGCCTATCGTAGATTCAACTACTTTCACACTGTAGCTTTTTTTTTTTTTTTTTTTTTTT